AGAATCGATTTGCAACATTGTTGGCTTTGCAACATTATGGAAGTTTCGGGAGAATCGATTTGCAACATTGTTGGCTTTGCAACATTGTGGAAGTTTTCGGGAGAATCGATTTGCAACTAGTTAGATTGTCGTTTCGGTTGACATCTCGTAGGCGAAGAGGTGCTCCTATTATGGGATAAAATTCTTTTTGGCAATTATATACCAATATTGTACGAATAACTGAATATATATACTTTATAATAATATACAATACAAGCAACACAGATGTGAATGTTTTCTTTCATTAATTAACTAAACAGAAAATAATCATGGCGCAACCCAAATAATGTCTGACTGTTTCTCTTAACATAGTGAGAATATGATAGTCCCATTTTCTCCTGTAAACGAGAATACTCGAAAATTGGTGTCCCTCTCGGAGAAACCGTGTCGGCCAATTATCATAACTTTCCATAATGGGAACGCGTGTTCGCGTCGCAGCGGGGCGTAATAGCACGACGCTTCTTGCGCGAAAGGAATTTCGTGGACGGAAGGGTGTAGGGATTCCCCGTCGTCCGAACGAGCCGTGATATTCCGACGATGCGAGAAACGTTGTTCGTTAGGTCAGTGGATAATTAGACCCGGCACTTTACCTCGGGCGTTGTAGCTTTCTTGCTCAACGGACGAGGACGACCGTGCTTGCATACGAACTTCGCAAAAACCACGTCGCCCAAGGCTTTGAGGACGTCTGATGTTTTTACCAACGACAGTTTCCAACGGAAAAAATTTGTATTTTTCTTTCCGAAAATCGATCGGAAAGTTCGTAAGTGTGTTACTCCATTTGCTAAGTACGTGGTCTCTAATTTCTGCGACCGAAAATCGGTCGATTTTAACCAAAGGAAAACTCCTGGAAAAATATAGAATTGAAATAAGAGAAAGATAATATTTTATGAAACACTCATGGAATAGAATGTTCATTTAAATGAAGAAATTAATATTTCACTGGTCAATCTAACAATTTATTTCCGTTGTTATTCGATTATGTTTCTTTGAATTCTTCTATTAAACTGAAATTTTAATGTTGTTGCCGGGTATAATATGCGGCTGATATCTTTCTGAATTTTTTGCACAAAAATGTTTCGCGAAATTCTCTCCATTCAGCTCCATTTTGTTTCCTTTTCTCGTTTCTGTTGGTTCTGTACTCTATTACAACTTACTGCCAGACTTTAACGCAGTCCCTGTCCGGCTTTATTTCGTTCCCTTACTTTCCGCACTCCGCGCTTTCTTTATTTTCTTCCGTAATCCAAAAGTTTCGCTTCCGTGTACTTTTATTGTACGCGATTTTTATATTCCCTCTTTTCCAGTCTTCATTATATTCGTATTTGTTGCTTTCTACACGACTTTTCCGCGAAGGCGGGGAAAATAAATGGATGTAAATCGAGCCACGCAGGTAAACTCTTTTAGATCCGCGAACGTAAGAAACTGTTCTACTCGTAAACTGCGCTCACAGGGTTACTAAAACGTTGGAATGAGTTTGAAAATAAATATTCGCTTCCCAGTTTGTTGCGTACAAATAATTAATATTTTAGGCCTTTGCCAGGTGCTTGAATTTTGAGAACAGTGCGAATTAATAAAATTAAACGGTACTTTGTTATCCGATAGTAGCGAATTAGTCGCTTTTATATTTAATATTTCACGCGTCCACAACACCCCAACGAAGAAAATGTCGCGTTGGAGAATTATCCTGTGCCGGCCACAAACGGCCAGCGCACGCGAGACGAATAACACTTTCGATTCACCGTATCAGAACTCGTGGTGCGGGTTCGTTCGCTGGATAACGGCACGCTGCAACGAGCTCCTAGATTTTCTAGAAAATGAACACGCGACGCGGGACCCCGCGAACGGACAATGGTCAGCGCGAACCTCATTGTGCCCGGCTCGATATAATCCACGCGGCGCAAATACCAAGTATGATCACCGCCGGCGTATAATATCGGCTCGTAACCGTTCCAGCTTCGTTCGACCACTCGTTTCGCCGGGTGGCGAGGTCGTCCGAACGGTCGTACGCTCGCCACGCAATTGTTCCAGCTCGCGACGATTCCACGAGCAAAAAGGTCGGAGTGCGAAGTGGCTAGATTGGCGCGGGGGTCGTTGATCTCTCGCTATCCCCCTCGAACGGTCTCATCAGAGGGCTTTTCTTACTCGCGACATGCCGGAGGAATTGCCGCTCGCTGTTCCCACGAGTCGTCTACCGCCAGACGTCACGAGGACCTTGGGCGCAGCTGGTGAAAACGTTGGACGTCTCGTGGGCTGCGATATGGAAAATTTATTAGCCTAATTTTACACCTTGGCTGGATTTCAGGTCAATTGTTTATGTAATTTTTCCGTTCGAACGTTTCATCGTATCGAAGGAAAAATTACAAAATGACAAAAATTCAGCGAATTAATTAAAAGTATGTTACGTGCGGAGACTTCACTCTGTTTCGTAATTTCTATCGAACCTCTCCTCCGTGACATTCGCCCTTTCGAGCGGATGTGGCCGCGGCCCATAGTAACGTCACGCTATACACCTTAACCCGCGAAGAAAGACAGGGTAGAATTCCCATCGAGCATAGTAAAGTAATGTTCGGGTCATATTATTTGAGGAAGTATCAGACGCTGACTTCGTGTTACCTCAGTGTAAGATCGGGTAGAATGCCCAGTCTAGCAAAGTCTTGAAACGTTTTTGGTAAATACCTTTTCTATTCTAAACGTGACTCCCACATTTCAACCTCGGTGCGTAACCTAGAGAGAGTGAAATTAGTTTGGCATTCCTTGAACGACGAAGAGTTGAAATTCAGTCTCGCCAAAGTCTTCGCTCATTAAATTATGACTTTGATGTACGCAATATGCTCCGGGACATGCCGAGTGCGCATTCGATAGCTAATATATTAACGCGGAAAGTTTGAACATGGGATACGCTTATTCGTACAGCATACTTCGGAAATGAAAGCGGAAGTTTGAACTTTGATCTAATGAAAGCATTCCAATGACAAAGCAGCTATCGAAGAGCTGATAGGTAAAAGGCAACTGAACGCGTTCGCAGGCTTTGGAATTTCGTGCCGCGACGCAATAATTTTCGAAAAAGCGACATCGAGAAAATTGTTCGCCGTTCCCCTTGGGTAGGAAGCAATATGTCTGGAAAGTTTCAGAAGAATGGCCGGTAATTTTGGAAGATTTCACAGGGACGGGGCTCCTGGCTTCGCGATGACGAGGAAATATCGCGATAATTTTATGAAAGGGGCGCGAGAAAATAAACAGCGGAGACGGAGAAATAAGATTGCGACCCGCGAGGTAATTTCTGTTCCTTTGTTCTTCTGAAATCTGTCTTTCTTTCGCGTTTATTTATAACACATAACTTAGTTATTTAATATCCTTCCAGATTTATTTTTTGCCTGAACGTTCCCTCAAATGGAGAATAACTCGAACTCGTTTAGATTGCGATTTATTCTCAGGACGACGGGAAACGAGCGAAAGTTTCTCTGCGCGGAGCTTTTCCCAGACTCGGGAAGTTTCAGTTCCGCGTAAAGCGATACGAATGAGGAGGATCAAACGCGTGGGAGGCTTTGAAAAGTCTACTAGAACGAACGTGACGCGAAACGCCGCATTGTTTGCGTGAATTTACATATTGAATTTGAAACGCGGAGACGGAATAGATAGAGGGGAGCATAAATTGAGGCATCTTTCTGGGAAATGATACTCGATGGAAGAAATCGAGGTCATTCGGTACGATACGGTGAACGACACGTTTGTTCGCATGATGGTATCGCCATTCACCCACCCAAATCCAACGTGCAGATAAACCTCGGTCGATGTCTTCAAACATACGTCGAGTGAAGATACAGATAAAAATGGAAACCTTACACGTGGACTTCCATATACGTTTCGAAGAAAAGTACAGATAAATATGAAAACCTCGTAAATTATTCATGAAATATCTTCATCGAACAAATTAACGACGTAACATAAAATATAAGGGGTACTCAGAAACGTGTATACGAACAATTGAAGGGACCTAACCAGCAAATAATAAATCCATAAATATTACAACAGAAAACGAAGAAATAACTCTCGATTCTAATATTTGAATATCATTTTTACCTGTCGAATTATCTTTTCTTTCTCGTAACCCTTTCTCGTCTCCAATCCCCCGGTAAAACGAGTTCCCCAAACACCGTAAGGATACATCTCGTGCACACAGTGACAACGAGAACCACGAGCTCATCGTGGAAAGCTCGTTCCCATCACCGGGCGAGGAGCAGCTCGCGCAAGCCGCGGAAATTGCTGTTGCGCTCCATTCTGCTCTCCCGAGCCGCAAAAAAGGAAACGTTGTTTCG